GTGAATAAATTTCTTATTCAACATAGCATAGAATCCTACCACAGGCGAGAACACCGTTATACAGTGTGGTACTAATTCTGAATATTTTCAGGCCCATTGTGCTTAATTCACCTATAAATATGTATAAACATATAAGAGTAAGTCAAGGTTCTCTTTCAACTCGCCGTATGTTTAAACAAAATGAACGATTAAAGTATGGAAACTTCCGTGTGTGCATATATACTAACGGTTTCCGTGAAAAGGTATGTATATTTCAGTTGAATAAAAATATTAATGATCTTGTTTGAAAACATATACAGCGAAACAAATGACCTTTGTTAAATGCTAAAGGCAGTCAGTCAGTTTCTTAAAGATCTCGGCTCCAAAGCAAGAGTAATTTCTCCTCACCGGGAGAAATTTAATAAAAACCATCACTGCAGCTAGAATTTACCCCTTACTGTTACATGTATCGATACCCGCCAGCCGAATAATTTAAGCCATCCTCTTGGAGCCTTGCTATGAGTCTGCTTGTCGATGACAAACAACAGTTTCACAGCAAATGGAACCATTGACATTTACACTGCCAAGACTTCAAGATCTGAAGTTTGCGACAAAGGAGGCATTGAAACTTGAATAATATTCCTGACACGTAGAGGTTTTCCTCAAGCTTATCCGGTGTAATCCGAGAAATACTTCTGACATTTTCAAGGTTTGAGTGCTCATGTTTCTCAATATTTTATGTAAGGGCAGATCTACGCACCGGAAGGCCTGAGACCTCCCGGAAAAATGTGACGTTTATAAAAGTTTTTTTTGCAGTGAATTTCATATCTCGACGCATGCCAAAAGGGTGGTGATGGTCGGTGCATCATTAGATTTAGTCATGACCAAGATTTGGATTTTCTCAGGATCAAATAACCATTATTGAATCCAATGCAGCTTTAACGTCAGGGCATATATGTTTAATGTCATTAGAAACTTAAATATCCTTCAAATACAGAATATGGGGCTTTCAGAGCCGTACATCAACATCAAAATGCAATTTAATGTTACGAGATGTTTAGAAAACTAGTTGAAGATGAAAATTAAATCGCAAGACTGTTTCCAGCATCCACAAACGACCATGCCAATATTTTATTCAAACATGATACGTTTGACAGAGAAGATAATCTTATTACTTCGATAACTTTACTATCCAAAGAGCAATAATGAAGCTAAACGACCAAAAGTGACTTTACATCAATGTTTTGTGACTGTTAAAATGAAACAATCAAGAAGCAGTGGTGATATATTGGTGTATTTGAAAGGGGTTCCACCAGTTGTGTTTTGGACCATTAAGGTTGAAATGTTTCAAAGACATCGTCACTGTTTTCAGCGATAAAAGTTGTATGTTTTTCATCAAATTCAATTTTATCATTCCAAAATGGTTAACACTAAATTTATCTTTTCTGTTTTCCCGCAACAGTCAATTCCACTCTTGGCCTTCACGTTTTTAGACATTTTTGGACAGGTTTGAGTTATTGAACAGTTGCGAGTTTGCGAAAGTACCACGGCGTTCAATATGAGGGAGCGCGACCGTCTGCATGCTGCAGGCGTTCCTGGACGCCGACATAGCGCCACCCTCTGCCTGATATAGGCCTTCATGGTTGCCGACGGAGCACAACGTCTGCTCTGTGTGGGAGACCAATACCGCTCTAGCCCTGTGTTTGAGGTAATTTTTGTTCAGACACGGTGACTTCTCCAGTGGTGAAATGTCAACATTATTTCTGAAAGTGCGGGGGAGGTATCCTCCATTTTTAGTTTTGCTTCTAAATAGACGTCAATTCTCTAATCACACTTGTCGGCGGGGTGACTATTTGGACAGGATGACGTTAATTGTGTTGACATTATGTATTTGGAAAGATATCCTTGAGGTGTGAAAAAAGAAAAGGCTAGAAAGAAATGATCAAACCAACTTTTTTCTCTTTGGTTCTTACGAATCAATTCATGTTTTATTTATCTCCATTTCTTATTCCTGTTAGTCCTAACGTGAAAAAGGAAACGTTATCAACCATCCGTTAGCGATAATAAGGTTACACCATTGCAAACTAGCTCCTGTCCCTCGTGAAAAAAGACGCCTGTCTTCACTCATTTGGGGGATTCAAAAAAAGGTCATTAGTCCAAATTTATAGTGAGCTTTTTATCTGTTGGAACATGACAGTGAAAGAATTCCAAATTACCTTTGTTTTCAGAATGACCAACGGTGGTAGCAGAACTTCTCTAAGGAAGTCTTAATGCCATAATATGCTCGTGTCGCTTGACAGTAATGGAAACATGGTGTGAATTTAGTCCCATGGTAGTGTTAAGACTCGTTTAGGTCTCCTAGGTGGCCTGAGTTGGAAGTGGCAGTCACCCAGGCAGCCCTAATTGGGGTTTACAATGTAATGAAACAAGGAACAGTAAAACTCACCAAGGAGTTCGCGAATCCAGAAGTAATAAAACATTCTTATGATGTGTTTCTCTGATTACAGCGCTTCTGACATGTCATTGTTTTATTTTATTTATTTTAATGTTATTATATCTCGATGGAAATATGTAGTTTGTTTGTTGTTTAAGGCTGCACTCAGCAATATTCCAGCTATATGTGGCGGTCTGTAAATAATCCAGTCTGGACCAAACAATCCAGTGATCAACAGCATACGCATCGACCTACATGTACGCAAGTGGGATACGATGACATGTGTCATCCAATTCAGTCAGCCTGACCACCCGATCCCGTTAGTCGCCTCTTATGACAAGCATGGGTTGTGAAGACCAATTCTTCATGGGTGGAATGTCTTGGAATATTTTCACGATGCATATCATTGCTCAGTTCTTATACCCGCAACACGACGTTGAGAATGGATTAAACATACTGTGAACTAATTATGCATTTTCTTATGACAAATTATTACCTTCACTGCATTCAAACGAGAAAGGACAAACTAAAGTCATAAACGGCAACGTGAACCTATAGTTTCAAAGTATGTCAAGTTAATGGACATTACTAATGGTTCAGAAAATCCATTATTATCACGATAAATTACAAAGTGTGTCCCATAAATCTGATTATGTAAATTAAACATAATGTAAATGTCATTTGATGTCATTTATCCTTTCTGTGAGCCAACATATGGTGTATCATATTTACGAAAGCAATGCGTTAAGCAAAGGAAATTAGCTTCGTTGGTGCAACCAACACCGATAGTCTCTTGGGTCATCAAATCTGAATATGACATTTTGGCATATGTCGGAAGGCTCCTGTTCTCGGAATCATGTTTCCATATGCTATGAGAAGAGCATCATTTGTATTAACGAAAACAATAAAAGACCAATATTAATATTCTTTTTAGGAGAAATCGATAAAAGGGCAATTATTCTCCCACTCCAAACACATTTATATACACCGAGTGGGCGGAGACAATATTGATGTACGAGTCCCGGGTTGCGAGTGTCTAACGCGATGGAACCGTTTCATATATTTATCAGAATGGAATAAAGAAAATGTCTGTGAGGTAAATTTGGCTGTTTGGGACCAAGATTTTTCATTTTAAGATGCTGTAAAATTTCAATTAATGATGTAGTTTAAAGTATTAGCATTACCCTAATGTCACCCTCTTAACCGGTGCATTTTGTGCTCATTTCTTATCCATTTAGTCGAATTGCAGTTTATCTCGAAGAAACAAGCGTCGATTTACATGGTTTCTAATTCTAAAAACAATCAATTCTGAAATCCCGATTTCAAATCGTCGTTTATTTGGAAATATAGTTTCTGCTTATACAATCCGGTTGTGTCGAAGTACTGTTATCTCGAAGTAAAGACGACTGCGCCCTTGCTTGTTTTTTAATTTGAAATTGTAAAACCCCAATTTCTTAAAAGCAGATGTTTTCATGAGATGTGTTAAATGTACATTTTTCTATTCGAATATCGATTCCGAATGTTCAAAAGAATAATTCGAGTAGTTCATTTTGTCATTATCGCTGACGGGTTCATTACATCCTAAAGGTATAATGCATTATATATACCAGGGAAGCCATGAAGCATAACTGATATTCCATCACAAGATACCTGCAATGGTTTTACAGTTGACTGTCTTGAATATGCTCGAATACTTTCTTTTACACGTGTATAGAGCAAACGACCTTTACACGTACAGGCGATAACTTATTAAACTCATTATTAACAAATGACTCACCACATTAAATGAGTTGACACTTGAGCATCGCACCAGTCTTTTGCTAAATAGCAAAGGTCTATCCAAACAGTTTTGAGGCATTTCAACTAAATGAGAGCATTGTTTCTTGAAGACGATAAGAACAATACAGTTGAACATATTGACGAGAGTGTTAGGTGTTATTAAAGGGGATGCGAATAGTGTGATCTTCGATTCTACATGAATAAAACATTTGTTGGCAAAACCAGAATTCAAACGTATTATACAGTCAGTAAAGTAAGAATGGGGATTTGGAATAATGATGCCCTTAAATGTAGATTTATTTGCTGTAGGTTAATTGTGACAGCCACACGGTGGCCCTAACGGGATTAGACCGGTATCCTGTTGAATTTACATCATCAGGGCCATATGTATATACAAACACAGAAGAATGAGAATAAATTGATGTATGTAGTTTTAAGGCACATTTGGTAAATGGCTGTCCCCCGAAAGACAACTTTCTTAACCTTGTCTAACGAATTAATAAGTATCCTTATCATAAACAGTTTTAAGGCACATATGGTAAATGGCTGTCCCCCGAAAGACAATGTTCTTAACCCTGTCTAACGAATTCATAATCGTCGTTATTATTAACAGTTTTAAGGCACATTTGGTAAATGTCTGTCCCAAAAAAGACAACACTGTCAAACGTATTCATAATCATCATGATTGTGAACAGGTGATAATTGTAATATCAATGTGAACATCGATCAATCAAAGACATAGAAAGCTCTAGAAACCTGTTTGTCAAAGTTGATAAAGTTTCAATAAGCCGAATACATAAAAGCTCACCTTTAGCTTGTTTCTCCTGTAATGGTGCCGCAAATGTACCGGCGACCAAAACGACTGCTAACACACAGCTATAGACCTGATGCGCATGCATTTCGTGTGAGTGAGATGCGGAGCTAAACCTGTCACGTCCTTCTCCTGGTGGTAAACGCGGCTTCTGAACAACTGCCCACTCCCTCGGTCTCCAAGCATCGTCAATGACGTCACAGATCGATGCCGACGTCAGCCGTTTTCATTCACTGCTGGAATATCGACATCGCGAAGCAACAGCAAGCCTGAATAACACGGTGCGTGATTGGCGCTCGGGGGACGCTCTCCCAGTCATTGTGTGGTTCTGATTCCTTTCCATTTAATGTACTGCGTATGGTTTGGGTACTCATACAAGCTAAAAGTGTTGGATCAATAAGGGTTTGTTAGTATGCTATATTTAGTTAGCTGTTGTGATGTTAGTATATGGTTCAATGTCACGGCACCATCGTCCATTGGAACTGTCAACACGAACGTGGCAGATGAATACCCGCTGTCGGGTAATATTCCTTGTCAAGCTGTGTGATTTAGTGACACATTGTTTCAATTAAAACCTGACCAATCGGAACCTGGACATTCTGGTCATTCTCAACTCAAGTGACATGAAACATCAAAAGGACACATTCTCGGGATCTTATCAACAAATTAGGGGACATATTGTCAACTGATGTGTTTGTGAGACTTGAGAATCTTCGTCGCTTCACAACGAGGGAGAAGGGTTTTACTCTGCTTCAAGCAATAATCCTGCACTTTGACGGTGGTGTGATTCAGTATGATTTTACGTCGCCTTTAGCAATATTCCAGCAATATCACGATGGGGGGACTCCAGAAATGCGCTTCACACATTGTACCCATGCGAGGAATCGAACCCGGGTCTTCGGCGTGACGAGCGAATGCTTTACCCACAAGGCTACCCCACCGACCGTTAACGGTGGAAGTGGGCTTCACACAAGGAACCCTTCAGGGAATTCGAACCTGGGCCTTCAAGGTGATGAAGTAAACGCTTCAACATCTACACAACCCCACCATCCCATAACCACCACGTGGTCAACTGGTGCTCTTCGGTGTACGTGTAGCGCTTATAATCAGAGACTGCGGTATGTGTTCAGTTGTATTCTATGAGTTGGGCCCTGAAGCCTTAAGTGCCATGAACCATTGGGCCGGTTTCAAAGGGATGATTAAGTTTGCGAGTTTTATATTACACCGCCTTTAGCAATATTCAAGCTAATACCCAAGAACACCGACCGTTGACGGTGGAAGTGGGCTTCACACAAGGAACCCTTCAGGGAATTCGAACCTGGGCCTTCAAGGTGATGAAGTAAACGCTTCAACATCTACACAACCCCACCATCCCATAACCACCACGTGGTCAACTGGTGCTCTTCGGTGTACGTGTAGCGCTTATAATCAGAGACTGCGGTATGTGTTCAGTTGTATTCTATGAGTTGGGCCCTGAAGCCTTAAGTGCCATGAACCATTGGGCCGGTTTCAAAGGGATGATTAAGTTTGCGAGTTTTATATTACACCGCCTTTAGCAATATTCAAGCAGCAATACGGCCAAGAACACCAGCAATTAGCTTCACACATTGTACCCATGTGGGGAATCGACCCCTGGTCTTTGGGGTGACGAGCGAACGCTTTAACCACTAGGCTGCCCCACCGCCCCTTCTGATTAGGTCCAATGAAACATTTGATTGATTTCAAAGTGCTGATGAGAAACTACATGATCGTTACGCCTTCATCCAGTAAGTGCGTTCCATCATGTCTGTTTGGATTAAAGTGAAACGCTGCATTACACAGGTGTAATTATATGTCATCATGAAACAGTAAAAGATAGGGTTGACTTCATGATGTGTGTACCAATATTAAGCTAATCACTTCGCTTGCCTGTCAGTGTGAAAGGTACTATCATCTTCGTCAAAACGGGGCAATTACAGACGAAGTAGAAATCAATACGAAGTATGAGTGGTGGGTGTTGGGTGTGGAAGGTTGTGGGCTTACGAAGACAACGTTCCAATAAATATAACTGTTGTGGATCAATATTGTTTTAAAAATTCCCGTTTCTCAAAAAAAACAAAAAAACCCCCAGAGATGGTGATACATATTTACGGACTTCATATTTTAATCAAGGCAAACATAAAACATGATACAACAACAACAACAACAAAAATAAAAAATCTGGGCTCGGCAAAAGGGGTTAAATGTGTTTATGCTGAAAAATTGATTTGACCCATAAACATGACTGGGTCCCAGAAACAATGGAAAAGCAATGTCCATGGTATGTTCACAAATATGTCAAACACCATAAAATACATATATCCCCATTGGGAAGTCATATTTTGACCTTTATTCCCTTGCAGTACAGATGATAGTACCTCTATTAAACTAATCACTTCGCATGCCTACCAGTGTGAAAGGTACTATTATCTTCATAACAACGAAGAGAAATCAATACGACGCCCATGTTGCCGTTGATTCGGTTAGACGATGCAAAGTATGAGGACGGGTGTGTGTGTGTGTGTGTGTGTGTGTGTGTGTGTGTGTGTGTGTGTGTGTGTGTGTGTGTGTGTGTGTGTGTGTGTGTGTGTGTGTGTGTGTGTGTGTGTGTGTCACGGTTGAGCACGTTTAATTAACAAAACTGTTGTGGATCAATATTTTTGTTTCCAATGTCCGTTTCTCCAAAGCCGGAGTTTGTGATAAATATTAAATTTTTAAAATAAATATGCAAAATTTAGAAAAGAGTCTCCACCCAAAACAGAGTGAGATAATGCTATTCGTCCGTGCTCAAAAGACAACGTTCAAATAAAAAAACAACAACTGTTGTTGAACAATACTTGTTTCCCAAGGTGATAATATAAACGAGCTTTATAGTGTACTCAAGGAAAGCATAAAACAACAACAGCAGGAACAATAGCAACAACAACAACAACAACAACAACAAAACAACATGCCGGCCAAAGGAGGTTAAAGGGTTTGAATGCTAAAAATGGTTTTGTCTAAAAACATCTAAATTAAAATGTCCACAGTAAGTTCACGAGCATGTAATACACCTATCAAATACATCCTCATTTTGGGTGTATGTCATATTTGACCTCCCATCAATCATGGATGTATGCTTTATATCGTCAGTCAGTTTACAATATCCAGAAGTAGTTACTCGTTCTTTTTAATACGATAACATACTGACGTATGGGTTATCCGTGTGTCATTTCCGACCCCCGTCGGTCCCCGTCCCATTCATCTCATCAGTGATATCGCTTTGTCATATCCACTATTCCGTCTTTACAACAAAGTCTCGAGAGAGCAATCCAACCCACGGTGATACCCATCCCTATGTACAACATTTGTCAGTGGCACGGATCGTAGTGCCGGCGGACATGAAACTGACAGTCTCATGTGATGTTTTCCTACGATCTGGCGAAGCGGCTGCATACTGAGAAACCAGTAGCAACCTCAGCTACACAACTGTATCCAATAAGATCGAGTGCTTTGTTTGCTTGTTTGTTTGTTTGTTTGTTGTTTAACGCCGTACTCAGCAATATTCCAGTTATATGGCGGTGGTCTGTAAATAGTTCAGTCTGGACCATACAATCCAGTGATTAGTAGCATGAGCATCGATCTATACAATTGGGATTTGATGACACGTGTCAACCAAGTCAGCGAGTCTGACCGCCCGATCTCGTTAGTCGACAAGCATTGGTTGCTGAAGACCAATTCTAACTCGGATCTTGAGTAGTGCAACTGGCTCTGCAGTGAACTATGATAAACACATTGATGTTTTTGGCAGTGCTGGTTATTTTGTTGACATGAACGATTTTGTAGTTTTATTGCATCACTTTATTTTAACATCATGCACCCAAAAAACTCAGACTGTTACTGAACAACAGACGATATGTCTACGCCTTCCTAATTGAATTTAGGAAGTTGTTTTTCTAATTAATTAATTCCCTCTGACCCTCTTGCGTGTTTGTATGTCCATACAATATGAATCAATCAATCAATAACCAATCAATCAATCAATCAATCGACCAACTAATCAATCAATCAATCAGAAATATTCAGAAATATATCACATTTGATGCTATGGCTTGAAACAAATCCAGCAATTATGCACGAATAAACTTATCATGTCATATTGACAGACATTATGATGGAGAGAAATTTACATAGATTTCCTAATTGCTTTACATTAGGATTTTCAAATAGGGCTGACGTTTCATAAATGTTAGACACAATAATACATATTTCTGGAGGCAGTAAAGTTATTACATTGAAATAAATAATGAAAGTCATCACCGATTTGGGAGGGACATGATGGACAAAATCGTTTATTTGAGGAAATATTTTCCCAGCGATCTATTTAAATAGGTAATTTATGGTCGGCGGTTTTAAATTTGATTCAAATATTTCAGTGCTTTCTTCCTAATTTACGTTCCAGTAAAGAAATATCATAATGAGATTTCATACATTCATAAATGACAGCTTTAGAGGAAGATGTTATGGGGTTGTTCAACAATTAAATAGTCGAGTCTAGACCTGACAATCCAGTGATGGACATCACGCGCATCGATCTAGGAAACTTGGATACAACGACATGCATCAAACAAGCCAGCGTGCCTGACCAGCCGTTACCGTCAGTCCTCTTACGACAAGCATATGTTGCCGAAAACCAGTCGCAACCCCATCTTCACCGGTAGTTGGGAAATTCAAAAAATAAGACCGTGCTTTCCACAAGCAGTGACATTAATTGGATAATGCAACGCACGAACACCGTCCCTATAAATATATTCTAGAATCCGTCTATGTTGGAAATGTTCCGCGTTTGAGACTTCCGTTGACCTTTCAGTGTTTCTAATACGCTAAGATATGTGAAGCCGAGACTACGGAACCCTAGAAGGGACATTGTCGGGTTGTCTCGTTTAGGTTAATTGTGAAACTTTCTACTTGTTTTTGTAAATTTGTGTGTTGTAACTCCGCCGTCAGCAACATTCTAGCTATTTGGCGTCGGTTTGTAAATAATCGAGTCTGTATCAGACAATCCAGTGATCAACAGTATGAACATCGATTTACGCAGCTGGGATAAGATGGCATGTGTCAACCAAGTCAGCGAGCTTGTTCTTTAACGCCACACTCATCAATATTC